AGCTTTTCATTAATATAATAACTGGGGGCTCGGGCCATATGTTGTATTAGTAATGTAAGCAAAACCTTTGTGGATCTAGCATGCGAAATTTTATAATACTTAAAAATAATTATACGCTAGTTACTTCATGATTATACTTTTAATAAAAGAAATATGTACATAAAAAAAAAAATTACATTCAAACTTACTAAAAATGATGAAATATTGTTATGTTGATTCAATTTTTTTTCCTATTTTTTTTATATTTATCTTTTTATAAAATAATTTATATTAATTATTCTTTAATTATTATAAAAATTTTCAGATGCCAGTAAATATATGCATTGCATTTAATTAAAGGGTGGTCAATAATCCTTGAACATCTTGTAGGCAACCAGGGAACAAAATTGGAAAGACCGATTTGTTATGCGTTGAATTGATTCTTGGGCTTCTTGTTTCAAATATTGTTTGCATGTTTTTATGGATTTTGACATTTCTGTAGAGCAGCTAATCACTGAATTGTCTAAATATATTTGGAACAGTTCATTTGAGATAAAATAAAATATCTCCTTAATTAGTGATTCATCTCTTATAATTCACAGCATATTTTGCATGTGGACAACTTAACAAAATTCAATTCCTGTTGTACATACATAATTTGTTATAATTATTTTTTAATAGTGACAGATTTGGGATAATCTAATTTAAGATCAAGAGACGTGGTCTAACGAGTAAGAAAATTATCTTGGTTTGATTAAGATCAATGTTCAATTCTTTCTATTCACAAATAATTAGTTATAATTATTTTTTAGTAATACTAAATTTAAAGTAATTTGTTCTAAGATGGAATTCAATAATCGATCAAAAATTAAGTATGTTTGTGTTATGATGCTAATTTAGTTTAAAAAATAATGATGACTCAAGTATACTCCATTACCTATATACATGTGTGTGAAAAAAAAAACTAATTATAAAGATTCAAAACTTGCTATAGGTTTTAATTTAATTTGGTAGTAGGAGGGGTGTTGGAAGAAAGATCATCAACAAACTTTTTGAAGTTTTAGGCTGTGTTTGTTCTCCATTTTTTAGTGTTTGTTTCACATTCATGAAAAAAGTCAATGGAAAATGATTTTCAGTCAACGAAAAATAATAGAGTAATTTTGAAAAAATATTTTACCGAGTTTCAAAAGAGAAAAACATTTTCCTTCTCACGAGTCTGTCTCGCTCTCTTGTTACATAACTCTCTCTCGATATATTTTAACAATTTTTTTCTCTATCTTCTTTTTATTTAAAATATATCATATTAATTTTTAATTATTTCTTATCAATTATTATTAATTATTTAATTATTTTTTCTCTATCTTTACTAATATTTGATTTTTTGATTTATAGATACATTAAATATTCTTAAAAACCATTTTTACACCTTAAAATTATTTTTATAATAAATATTTCAATAAATTATCTCTTTTTTTACTATTGTCTCAATCACTACCTAAACTATAGTTAAATGATTGAAAATGATTATTACAAGACTATAATTTTTTGTAAAAAGAAATTAAAATTAATTAATTCATTAATAAATACATTATTTTTTCAACACTATTCATTTGCAATTAAATCAATAATTTATAATTTTAATCAATTGTAAAATTTTGTTGGTAATTGTAATGAATAATTAGTTACAAATTATTCCAACATTAATCTTTTGAGATCAAATAAATAATTATCTATAGATGATAACAAATAATTTATCAAATTATTTTTTAGACTAAATTATCAGTTCAATTTCTTAAAAAAAATTCTTAATTGAGTTACTAAAATAATAATGCTAAGATTACTTAGAATCTTTTTTTACCAAATATGAATATTGACTTAATCTTGTCCAAAGTAATTTTGATGATTTGGTTTGATTGTTAAAAAAATACATTTTATTTTTTGAATTAAAATTTTAGAGTTAGTATTGATGAAAATTTATTAAATTTTTTTAAATGTATCTTATATTATGAAATTATGAATGTCTTTTTAAAATTTTTTTAAAATTTGTTGATATAACAATCACATAAGTTTTTGTATTTTAATTTTCCGTATCAAACAAACGTTGAATATATTTTTCGAGTAGCTTTTTCATATAATTGCCAAACAGCAGAAAATATTTTTTTGAAAAATAATTTTCAGAAAAATAGCTTCATCAGGAATTGATTTTCCTATGAAACTTGTTTTCCTCCGAACAAACGGAGCCTTAAGCATATTTTTGGTATCCCTTGTGTTATTTCTTTGAAGTAACTAGAAAGTTGTAATGCAACTAAAAACAATACGTGTAATATTACTAACCCCGTGTGACACGTGTTTTAGAAAGAGAAGTTCCAGAAAATTTGATCAGCTAAATATTATTCTTGTCCACACATTCTTTGTCGACGATTCTCTCAAAATTTGGTTTCTTAAAGCTGATAATGCACCAGTGTTTTTTTAAATGTAAACTTTCATAAGGTATTATAATAAAAAATAAATAAAATGACTTGGTTCGATATCAAAAGCAAAGCAGATCGGTGGGAAAGCGATCGAGATTGTGTCATTTTTTAATGTCTGTCATCGTTCATAAAGCTTTATTTTTTCACGTAAAGGAAAAGGGAATATCTCCAAGCATTTTATTATTGTAGTAATTAAATATCAGCATGAAAAAGCCACTTTTGTCCAAAAGGTACAGTTGGTCTCTACTTGTTGGGGTCCTTCCTGTTCATATAACGTGGTCAGTATTTCTTTATAGGACATGATATTTATTGTCTAAATCATATCCTTACAGGTTTAGCCCAGTTGTTTAAAAAAAAAAAATGTAATCTTTTTGTGAATTCAACGAATCAAATGGGAACAACATACTAAGAATACATTAAAAAGGAATCTATCATTAATATTTGAAGTTAACTCAAAGACATCCTTACCGTTTATATATATATAAAAGTTCTATCAAACTAAGTTGCCATGTAGATGATTTTATTACACAATTTGAACAACATTATGAAAACATAAATACACGGTAATTGAAATAAAGTTTCAAAACTCAACTTTTATTTTTTAGGATAAATAATTTAATTTGTTATTATATAATATTTTGAGCCTTTTGTCTATTTCTAAATTTTTAATTACATCACATTTGTATTTTATTTTTTTAAAAAAATTTAATATGTAATTTTGATTAATTTTTTTGACCATGGATAAAATTTTTAACTGAAATGCCTTTTAATATGAAATAAAAAAATTAAAATCACATGATCTGTATTTTATTTTTTTTAACATTTCAATTATAAATATTTTGGTAAAAAAAAAATTATAAGAAAAATTAAGTGAAAAAAGCATATTGAACATTTAGAAAATTTTAAAGACAGATAGATTGTAATTAAAAATTTAAAAACAATTGAGAGATTTAAAGTATTACATAATAACAAATCAAGCTATTTATCTTATTTTTTATAGTGGAAAACTCAAAATTTTTTTCAAATATAAATATGATATTTTTTATATTTATACATCTCGGCATAAAAGAATTTAGAGAACATGAAAAATAATTAATTAATGCTATTTGTCCGTACTTATTTTGTTGGAAAAGTTAGCTATTAAGCAGTGTGTCTTTAATGAATTTTTTGGTTTAGGGCAAACTCTTTTATGAATTTTACTTCACTAAGAAAATTATCGGATAAATAAAATAAAAAGAAATGCCTTCTTATGTGTTTTTATAAAATCTAGGTGAGGTATGCTAATTCTACTTAAAAATTATTTTCAAGATGTTTTTACTAAAAAAATCAATAAATTGATTTATAGGATGAAGATAGCTTATATATTCAATCGTTATAGATTTTTCAAGAAGAATATATGATAAGATTGACCTAAATACTTCATCTTACAAATAACTCATATTATTTGAGACATGAATTTACATTTCAAAGTAAATTAAGTAGCATTATTTAATGAGAATTCTTAGAGTAAAGCTGCTTAAAAAACCCATGCTGCCGTCACCCAACCCGAATGAGAGTATGTACATGTAAAAATAAATATAGGGGAAGAAAAAAACGAAAAGAAGAGTTAATCAAAAGAATCACACGGAACCACGAGAAGAGATTTGATTTATCTAACACAAGATTGCGGCGGCTAACGATTCCCCAAATCTCGCCACCAATCACTCCCTATACATTACACAAACTCATCAAAAAAAAAAACCAAAAAGTTCACAAGAGAATACTAAGAACGATAAATCCATACTACTATAGTTACGGATGGAACAAAACTAGACAAAACACCAAACCCATGTGTTAAGTGTTTTTTTTTCTTTCTTTTTTTTAACGTTTTGAATTAACAAAAATCATAAAAGGGCTGGAAATACGAGGAAGTAACACACTTTCATGGGTTCTGTTTCCTAGTTCACATTGTTAATCTTCCTTATTCATAAAATGGTCAACTCAAACCGACCAGCAAGCCATGTGAAGACCATACAAAACAGTCATCAAATTTAGCTAAAAAATCTTCATTATTTTAATGAAGGAGACGGAATAAATTTCAAATTCGTCTTCCAAAAAATAAAAATAAAAATATATAACCACGTTTCAATTCCTAAGAGGAACATTGAAATTAGTAAATAAAAAATTAAACCAGAAGCCTTTTACTATCAAGACAAAAGAACTAAAAGGACATGGTAATTTGTATGTATAAGGGTGAAATTAATACATGGAAAAATGTAATTAAAAAAAAAAAAGCAGAGATAGAGAGCTATTATTTACACATGACTAGAAGAGATTAAAAAAAAGGAAATAAAATAAAAAACAGTGTGATAATTAGGTTAACCAAAAGTCATGGTTAAGACAGAGAGACACGAAAAATATTCTTCTCTTTCATGCATCAACATAGATACTCACCGCCATTTTTGCCTTTTTCTTCCTCATCTTCATTCTCTCTCTCTGATTATGATCTCATTATCATATACAACTTCTTAATGGTGATCATCATATGCTAATAATAAGATATTTATATTCCTAATCAGAAGAACAAATCCAGGATTCCATCATACCTTCACTTCTTGTAGCCACATTCTCTTGCCCCTTACTATCACCACGAAAATCTGATGATGAAGAAGCCAAGAAGTTAACTTTCCCATTTGTAACACGCTGGGTTGAGTTATTGTAGTTACCATTAATGGACCTTAAAAGACCATGTTGATGGTGATGATGATGATGATCACCCTCATTTGAACCAACCCCATCTCCCCAGTTTCCAAGATTGTTGTTGTGATCACTTCTTCTCATTAATGTTGCATCTGCTGATGGTGATGGTGATGATGATGAAACTATGTTTTGCAGCCCTGTAAGGTTTGTGTTCACATGGCCATGGCTCAACCCCAACTCCTCTAAAACACCCATTTTGAGATGTGAATCATTCGATGGGATTTCTAAAGAAGACCCTTGTTGTGGTTTTGTGGTGCCAAGAATATTGGGTGAGTTTGAAAGTGGGTATTTATGAGGGGCTTGAAAGAGAGGGTGGAAATTGAGAATTGGGTTTTGGACGTTGATGTTGAGTAAGTTATGTGGCTGTTTCAAAAGGCCTAAATCAGAAGGTAGTTGGTAGTTAACGGAAGTTGAAGAGATATTAGAAGTAGTAGTACCATTAGTACAAGCACCAGAATTATTGATGTTAGTTGTAGTAGTGGAAGCAATAGCATCAACCATAGAAGTAGAAAATGATGATGCAGTTGAACCTAAAGAGACAAATGGTGGTGCTGGTGGTGGAGGTGGTTGGTATTTTTGAGCAAAAGGTCTTAAAAGGTAAGGAGGTGGTGAAGGGTCCAAATGGTGAGAGACGGCTGATCTCAAAGTGGAGGCTGCAGGTCCAAATAGATCAAGCCTGCTTCTTGGGAAAGGTGAGGATGTAAAGGGTGGTGCAGGGATCCCTGTAAACTCCTGAACCATGGCTCTGAAATTGGTGGTGTCTGTCGTCAACACAGTTGTTGGTGCACGCCTAGAAGCTCTTGATCTTTTCTTCGGGTTTCTAACCCCTGCAGTGTTACTGACTTGATCATTTGTCCCTGAAACTGAACCTAGACCTGAGACTGGACCTCTTGTAGCACTTTCTTGTACATGTGGTGGTAGAGACTGGAAAGTGGCTCTAGTTTGAGTTTGGTTGGTAAACAACTGTTGGGTTGGTGAGGAAGATGAAATGAACCCACCAAGATCAGTGCAATTCGGTTCAGATCTTAAGTTCTTAGACCAGACCACATCAAGATTGAGGAGTGAATTTGGGTTTGTGAGGGGTGGTGATCTTGATGATGATGATGATAAAGGATCAAAATAGTTTGATAAAGGGTCAAACAGCATAGTTGATGAAGAAGAAGAGTGGTGGGTTTGGTGGTGGTGGCCGTGGTGGTTATGGTCTGGTTGTGGTGGAGGGTTATTAGACATGGGACCAACATGGCTTAATGGGTTGTTATTGTTGTTGTTCAAGAAAGCTGAGATTGACTCGGCGCGTGAATCATACTCTTCATCTCCACCACTTGAGGATTGCATACTTCCACTATTGCCAGAATCCATATTTCTTCAAGAAAAAGAGAGAGAAACTAAAAGAGAAAGACGTAAAAGCAAGACAGAGATATGGCGAGAGGGATGTATCTATGCAGTGAGATTTTTGCTGGCTTGCTTATGACTTACACACAGAGACTCAGACTCATTTAAGAAGGGGTGAGAAGCTACAAAACATGAAAACAAAGCATGAGGTAATATAAAGACAGAAAGAGAGAGAGATCTTCTGGAAGATAAATCAAGGAGAGCTATATCAGAAAAGTACCCAAGTTGTCTTTAAAGCTCTGATCTGCAAAGAAGACAGCGTTTGGCTTGCTTTTACTTTGTCTTTGGACAAAAGGGTATATATATTATTGTGTAAAGAAGGGAATAAACAGCCCACGGATCATGAAATTGATAGTTCCATCAGGGAGATAGAGATAAGTGGAAGTTAAGTCTCTTTGGGTGTTTTCTGTTTGCCTTTTGTTTGCAAGCCTATTATGGGGTACTGAGGTGAATTAGGGTTTTCTTCAAGAGAGAAGAGAGAGAGAGAGAGATGGTTCTCTAGCCTTTTCTTCTCTCAAACAGAGGCTGCTTCTGTTCGCTGTTTCTCTCAAAAGATCAGGGTGGGGTAGCCATGAGAGATAGAGAGAGAGAGGTGGTGAATGGGGATGGGAGAGACAACTGGTCAAAGTATGTGAGAGTTGTGGTTTTGATTCACGGTGTGAAAAGAAGAAAAAGAGGTGAGGTTAAGGAGAGCTGTTAAATTATAATAGTACGTACCACAGTAGTACGTAGATAGATAGTATTAAAAATGTTTTTTTTGTATTAAAATGATGTTATATTTGTATAGAATAATGAGATGGCAAGCAGCCAAAATAGGAAAAATGGTAGTTGAATGGTATAAAAGAGAAGGATAACAACCATCACCAATATTCACCAGTCTTTTCAAAATAAAATAAAAATAAAAAATAAAGATCTAACAATAGAAAACGAAGAGTAATGGAACTACAATTTGAAACTCTAACATTATCTAGATTTTTGTCTTATGTTTTTCAGGGAGGAGGTTAGGTTTAATGATAGACGGAGCAGCAGGAATCATCCATGCTGCTGATATTCTATATGTTTATTTTTTGGCATAGCATAGCTCAGTTAATTATAATCCTAGCCACAGCCTTTGACCAAGTCAGGAATCATGATAAAATATCAGGAAAAGAAAATCCCATTATTTGTGGGTTATAATTGAGGAACCTCGTCAGATAATCTTAGTTACATAGTTTTTCTGTCTCTCTATCTTTTCCTCTCTTTTACACCTTTAATTTTATTTCTCTTGTATAATTAAAATTCGAACTACATATTTGAAAGAAAAATAATTGAAATTGACTTTATATGTTTGGAAGAAAGAAGAAGAAACCATCCAATGTATGGATGGATGGATGGATCGGCTCAACAACACCCTGAGTTTGCTGCAACCATCAAAACTAAAAAGAAGCTAATATAAATATTGTTACTGTCTCCTTTTCTTGTATATTTATTTACTATTATTATTAAATTGCACAACTTGGTTTTTAGAACAAGTCTTTATCATTCTACTTTTTTTTTTTTTTGTATAAAAAGAATTAATTTGAGTGGAAGAATTTTAGTCATTTAAATAATAGTTTCGGATTCGAATTTTTATATATATAAAAAAATTTTTACATAATTATCTTTATCTTGTGTATTTAATAAAACTGTTTTGGATTAATCTAAGTTTTTGAAATTATGATACTTTGAGGATATTAAAAAAAAAAAAACCCTAATCCTAAACACCCGAAGTGTCACGTATTTCAGATATATAGGTAAGTTTAGCAAAAGCAGCTTGTAATAACTAATAGTATGCAATGCACTATTAATTCCCAGCTATATATACACACACATCTACGGGATTTCTTTTTACAGTTCTTGACGGTTGCAACTTACAACCTATCCCTTTATTCTGTGAAATAAATTGGATTTCGCGAATAAATCCTATGTCCTCGTGCTTGAGCCAACCCTAGTTTGAAGCCAACCGTGGAAGATGTCGTCGCTTTTTCGCTGACCTGGGCTGGGGCGAAATCTGAATTATTTATTTTTTGACAAGTAAAAGAAAAATAACAAAATAGATAGATCGCCCCTGATAGCAACAACCATTATATCTTGCAATTACGTTGTTTGTAATTATATTATTTGTAATACAACAAATATTGAAGAAAGAAACTTTTGATAGGAACTGAAAAACAGACATGAAAATAGTTGTATGATTGTTAGCTGAAACCTTTTAGCACTACGAAATTCGTTTATTGTGATTTATGAACCCTTTTTTTTCCCCCTTAGAATTAAGAAAACTAGCGTTTTGAAACAAAAAAAAATGAAGCAGGTGTTGGCACTTTTTATGATTTAACAGATTTTTTTTTCCTTGTGGGTTAAGGTTTTTTATTAATAGGTGATAGAATGTTAGGGAAAAAAAGAAAAAGAAAAAACAAGAGAGAGTAGATTCTCCTCAAAGATAGCGTTACTTTAATCACTTAAATAATTAAATAATTAACAAAGTTTTATAAAATTATTTAATTGATAATTTTGAAAAAAATTAATAAATTTAATGAAAAAAATTAAAATTTATATATTTGATTGAAAAATATTAAAACTTAACGTACTTATAATAAATTATCCCATCAAAGTCTAATAGCTTATTCTTTTCAACTCAATTTATAATAGGAAAAGAAAAGGGTAACTTATATTCCAATCCCTATGATTTCCATAATATTCCAATATAGCCGTTTGGACGACTGATGGTGGGACCGGCCAGTTTTTTAATTTTTTTGGTTGATATTGTTTGGACTTTTAAGGGTTTTTGGGTAAGAAATGTACGAAAAAGAACAAAAAAAATGAGGAAGAAGAAGAAGAAGCGAGCATTCCATCGATTGCCATCAGCTATTTAACAATAAGGGCCTTATTGAAATGTTCGGGAATGTATAGGGTAAACGTTTATAAATTGTAATTTATGGGGCCCCATCGCTAACACGCTGATAACCCAAAAGGAAAATATACATACCTCCTCTTATTCCCCATATCTCTCACATTGATCCAAATAAATTAAAATGTCATAATGTCACCTTCAAACTTTCAGATTGGTTACAATATCAGCCATAATCTCAGATTTTTTTTTGTACCATAGTAAAATAATACAAATCCTAACTAATAATATTTTAGTAATGTAAAAAGCTGATAAGAACATAATTTGACACTTAACATTTTATATTTGCAAAAGAATTTAGATGATAGAATTTACAATTGTTAAATTGTAAAAGCCGATATGGATATAGCCTGCAGTTTAGTATGTTATACAAAATCAATTAATCAAAGAATATAATAAAAATTCTTAATTTAACCGTGAATAGACACATTATCTCGGATGATATAAACCTCATATCTTGTGTTCTTTTATTTTATTTTTTTGAAATATTCAAAGAATAACTAGTGTACATATACAGTAGTTATTCTATATATTCATTTTTGAAGAAAAAAAACATATAAGAAAGAAAAAAATAATCATATCCGGACCTATAAAAACCGATAAGAAAATTTTTATTTTGGCTCAATTTTTTTTTTAAATTTCTTCTCTCTTATTTTTTTTTATTTGTATCTATCTTTCTGTAGAATAAATTACGTTAATTTATTTTTAAGTATTATAAATTTTTTGTTGTTGGCTACATAATTGACATGCAACAAGTTGAAAAATCGAGATAATATTAGGACATTTTAAATGTATTGGTTTTTTTGTTTCTTTGAAAAAGTTAAAAGAGAGGTGATGTATGCTTGACATCACATAATGATTACACGTCCTCTTTTGAACTTTTATCAACGAATAAATACAACCACGTTGCACATATCACTCTCAAATCACTTATCTAATTTTGTCTATTTAAGTAACTTGCACTTGCAAAAACTACTTGATTTTAACCGTACGTGGGTGCCATCTCAGGTTTTTGCCAACTACAAAAAAGTTCTGCTATTTATCAAAATGTGGATTGATAGAACCCCATCGATGTTTTCATTCAACCTCTGGCTCGCACAAGAATGCTACTACGCATAAGTTTTATTTTTCACTCGAATCTGGACCCTTTCTTTGATTAGGATTTTTGTTTTGATGACTCAATTGTGTGTCAGTAATTTCAGGTTCGTAATTAAAAGAGGGGTACAATATACGAGGATCCCCTTATCTATTGGTCAAAACATTTAAAAAAAAATCCCTATCTAATTTATGCAAAGCAGATGGTCTTTGAAAAAACTTGAAAGTTAAAATTAATTCTTCTATTGATTTAGATTAGATTTCCATCCAAATTGAGATTGATATTTGTCATGTGGCTGGCACGTGACACCAAAATTTATGTGATAATCACGTCTATTCAGGTTATTTAGTGTCACATAACAAATATTAATCCTAATGTGTACGGAAACTTAACTTTTAAAAAAAAGAAGTTAATTTATTATATTAGCTTTTTTTGGAAACTAGTTGCACTGAATAAACTAAACAGAAATTATTTGTGACTTAATCAATAATTTAGAATATTTGACATTTTTTCATCCAAATTCTAAAATAACCCAAAATAAGAGTAATTATCCCTAAAAGAGATCCTAAAAAAGCCCAAAACAGTAATTGCAAGTAGTGTTGTTAAACAGAGCGAGGACTAAAATCGGATCATAGTAAATTTAAATTCGATTTGTTTAATAAAACATATCAAATCTTATGAATTCGGATCGATTTTAAAATATGAATTCGAATTCAAAGTTCCATCGGATTTATCAATTGGTTTTTATAAAAAATTTATACTTACTACATTTAATTTATTATTTGAATATAAAATATATTTCAATCATTACATGTATAATAAAATATATTAATATAATATTTTATCTATTAATTTTATAAAAAAATCAAAATGCCACACAATTTAAAAGCATTAAATCAAATAATTTTAATAAAAAATTATCTTGAATTAGGTAGGAAATATAAT